CCTAAGTATCCATTGATAGATGAATGGATGAACAAGATATATCTCACACACACACACAATGGGATATTATTCAGGCTTGAAAAAAGAATGAAATTTTGCCATTTTCAACAACATGGTCGGAGCTAGAGAGTATAATACTAAGTGAAATAAGTCAGTCTGAGAAAAACAAATACCATATGATTTCAGTCATATTTTGAATTTAAGAAACAATGCAAACAAAAGGGAAGAGAGAGAGAGAAATCAAGAAACAGGCTCTTAATTATAGAGAACAAACTGATAGGGAGATGGGTTGGGGGGATGGGGGTTAAAGAGTACACTTTTCATCATTAGCACTAGTAATGTATAGAATTGTTGAATCACTATATTGTACACTTGAAACTAATATAATACTGTACATTAGCTATACTCAAATTAAAATTAAGATCTTAACGAAATTAACATGGCCCCCAAGCTCAGTGTTGAAGTGCTTTCCTAATGCAGAGAGGTTGTGCTGCCTTGTGGAGAAAGGGTGCATGTTAGATAAACATCATTCGGGCAAGAGTTGTTATGCTGTTGACGATGAACTCAGAGTTCATGAATAACAGTATCATACATCCAGAAAAAGGAAGAGGAAATTCATTGATCTGTATGTAGGGCTGCTCCAAAAATTCCTAAAATAATGTCTGTGGTGCATGATGAAGCCATGGAAAAACTGGACAATTAGCTAAACTTGTGCATTCATAAGATAATGACCAATAAACAGAGCATAGGGGACAGCATTGTTTTGAGGCTGAAAACCAGATTAATTCATGAGTAGGTCATCTAGGGTCAGGAAAATGGTTAACTCTTCTTTGCTTGTGTTTCATTATAAAGAAATATAAGATGTCTTATACAGAAACATTTAAGGTTACTTACTGATTGAAAATGTTGTGACCAAAGGCTTGTGGGAATCGAACCCAGTATTTTCCTTAGGAGCAATAGCTCAGTATTTGCTAATTCAATGTTCATGGCAACACTGTAGAATATAACTACCACAAAGTGCAGGGATGTATTTTCAAATGGCTATGCTTCCATCATTTGTGAGAGTGCTCTTTTCTCTACCCCAGCTAACATAACGTTTCAAACTTTGATATCTGATAGTTGAATAATGGTAGTTTGCAGTTTTAATTTGCATTACATTTAGTATGAAAAATGTAGAAGAACATCTTTTCATGTTTTGGAGCCACTTATATTCCCCTTGTTTTCTCTTTTTCCTTTTGTCTTTTTCTCATTGATTTGTGGCACATCTTTATGTATGAAGAAAATTAGCTCTTTTTCTATGCTACAAATTGCAGATATTTTCACTAGTGTGTCATTTGTCTCTATACTTTTTTCCCCATATGGCAAAAGAAAATACACATTTTTTTTTTTTGATAGAGAAAGAAAGAGTGTGAGCAGGGGAGAGGGACGGGGGTGGAGAGAGAGAGAGAGAGAGAGAGAGAGAGAGAGAATTTTAAGCAGGGTACACACTGAGCATGAAGCCCGATGTGGGACTCGATCCAACAACCCTGGGATCAAGACCTGAGCCAAAATCAAGACTTGGACGCTCAACCAACTGAGCCACCCAGGCACCCCTATAAACATTTTTAATGTAGTCAAATGTATTGATCATGGCTTTTGTGGCCTCTTGGGTTTGTTACAGTTTTAAAAGCTTTTCTTAAGAGATGTATAAGAGTTGTATTTGTGTTTGAAGTTTTGTGATCCTTTGGTGTTGTTAAGGAATTTAATCTTTTCAGTATATAACATTAATTACAAATCTTTCTTTCCATGCTGGGTAAATTTCAAAGCAATAGAACGATGGAAGTTCACCAGGTTTTGGAATCCAAAAGTCCAGTTTGAATTGTAGTTTATGCACTTACTAAAGTGACCTAAGCCATGTTACTTACTTGCTCTTAGCCTCAGGTTCCCCATCCGGGCATTAGTGAGTTCTATTACAAAAGACAGTGCCTGGCACGTGATAGATTCTCAATGTTAGTTGCTGTCTCTCCTGCTTTCCTGAAGCCCTTGACCAAGAAATATTTTGATAAATTAATGTAAGACATATACTTAAATAAATAGGATTTCTTTACAAAAGCATTCTATAATTTAAATTATAAAAAAATTTCTGTTGAGTTTCTCAAGCCAGCCTGAACTAGTAACTCATACATACATACATACATACATACATACATACATACATACATATTTGAGTTGTAGGTACTAAAAATTGTGTGTCAGTACAATGCACATTGCAAAAATACATTTTTTGGTAATAAATGGTTTTTGGTAATTTGGTAATATATGGTAAATTTTTGGTAATAAATGTGAAAAAAGTAAATGAAGACTGAATTTTTAGACACTGCATTATTTTCTTTAAGAACTCCTAGACTATGTCTAGAAACTTCATTGGAACCCCTTTAATTAAAAAAGCAATTAGTTAATGAAATCAGTCAGTGTACCCAATTTATCCTGTTTCATAATTCTAAATTTTTTACATACTATATTTTCTTAAAGCAGGCTACATTTTTAGAGAGAATAATGCATTCTAAAATCATCAAAATTGTGTCGTAAAAAATAAAGCATAATGTGTTTATCCTTTAGTTTCATGACTAGATCAACTATATTTCCATGTATTTTTCTTTCCATGGCTAATTCATGAGCCACCTTAACATGTGGAGCATAAGGAGAAGTCACAGTTTTAGAAATGCCTTAACTTTGTATTTAAATACAATTGCTTTGTCACTACTCTAAGGAAATTCAGTAAGACTTGAATGCCTTTGCTCTATTAGGCAATTTAGAATATCCCAGACCTTGCTCTGGACTTCAAGATTTTTTGTAGTTCAAAGCAGATGTGTGAGGAAGAAAAAACATCTGGTGAAGAGAACTTGCTTCATCGCGTGATGCTGTTTTCCTGCACTCTTCAGCAGAGCGTCTGTTGAGCAGGTTGGCAGGTTTGATAATTAATTAATGATGAGGGAATGAGCCACGTATCTGAGGAACTCAGTTTTGCCCCTTACTGCTTCTTTCTTCCCCACATGTCTGGCAAAGCCTTCAGAGTCTAGGATCACTGATCCCACAGTTGTGTCTCAACTCCAACACTTGTCTTCAGGCTTAATTAGCTCAGAGATATAAACAGATGGATGGTCTGGGACCCAGAGGGTTTAGTGTTGAGCAATGCAGTTTTATTATCAGGGACTTGGAAACTTTTGTTGGAGAAGTACATCATCAAAACTTAAAAAAAACCTTAGAATTTTGAAAGTACATACTTGAAGGCGACAGAGCTGTGTGTATCCGTATATTTGTGGATTTTTCTTTTGTCACTTTTTGTTTAAATAGAAGCTCAAACTTACAGGAAAGTTGCAAGAATAATACAAGAGACACCCATTATTCCTTTACCCAGATTTACCCACTGTTTTTATTTTACCCTGTTTGTCTTTACATCCTCACTCCTTCCTTCCCCTCTCTTCCCTCTAGACACACACACACACACACACACACACACACACACACACACACACACAGACACACACACACACACACACACACACACACACACATCATACACATTTAAACGTGCTTTTTTTTAATGAACTGTTTGAAGGCAAGGTGGATGTCAGCTATCTTTACTCCTAATACTTCAGTGTATATTTCTTAAAGACAGGCCATTCTTCTAAATAATCACAGTATAGTTATCAAAATCATAAAATTTAATATTGATATGGGATTATTATCTAAGCCATAGTCCCTTTTAAATTTCATCAGTTGTCTCAGTATTGTACCTATGATGTTCCCCACCCTCCCCAGACCTATTCAGGATAACACATTGCATTTAGTTGTCATATCTCCTTTACATGGGAATGGTTTTTCAACTTTTTGTGTATGTTTTGACTTTGACATTTGTGAAGAGTTCAAATCAGTCCTTTGTAGTATTCCTGTAATTGAGTTTGTGTGGTATTTCCTCACGCAGTCTGGGCTCTGCAATTTTGGCAGAAGTACCACAGGAGTGGTGGTGTACATCTGACGGTGTCTTATCAGGGGGCACATGGTGTTGATTTTTTCTTAATTGGTGATGTGAGTTTCGATCATTTGATTAAGGGGGGGGGCCCATTGGTTTCTCCACAGTGAACCTACACTTCCCCCGTTTCTATTTTGTAAGAACATTATGGAGAGATATGTTGAGACTATGTAAACAGCTTGCTCATCTTCAAATTTTCACCCACTCGTTTTAGCAACCGTGATGATTTTCTAAGTCTGATATTTCTTCTATATTTACTAGTTGGCATTCTGCTGCAAGGAAGAGCTTTCTTTCCTTTCTCTTTTATTTATTCATTTATTTATTTGCATTAGTATAGGTTCGTTGGTTCTTATTTTATTCAGTGGTGATAATTCCTTACTATCATGATTTATTTTGATACTTTGGCCAGTGGAAGCCCCTCAGTCTGACCTCGGAGTCATTTTGATAAGTTGTCATCATTCCTTGAGCTTCCTTACTTTCTGACATGCAAAAAGATGTTCCAGATTCATTTTATATTTTCTCTGCCCCAGCCCCAGAACGAACATTCTCCAAGGAATCCTGGTTCCTTTTCATGGAGAATGGTATTTAGAAACCAAGACTCTGTGTGTGTGTGTGTGTGTGTGTGTGTGTGTGTGTTAAAGGAAACTACGTTATGGAATATTACATGTGCTAAATCATTGTGTACTGTACGTATGAATGTATGGTGCATGTGTGTGTTTAAGTTTACAAGTTTCAAACAGAAGAGCACTTATTTTACATGTAATAATTATAAGTTTTGACAAGAAAGAAATACATTTTTCATTTCACAGTAAATGGCATTACACAGTTTTGAGTTCTAAATCATCTTGACATTTATGAAGGACCAAATGGAAAGTAGGCAACTGAGTGTGTTAAATATAAAGCTATCTTTAACTGTTGTATTAAAAAGCAAAGATTTATTTTCCATCTGTGATCTGAATGTGCCTACTTGTGTTCTCTTCCACGGCAGTGGAATTTCTGTGGAGCCACACGACAGAGAGCATGTGTGTTGGATACATGTCAGCCCAGGATGGGAAAGCCAAGGTAAGCGGGAACACTGGGGCATAACCTGAAAACCTTGCAGGTTGCATGAACCTCTAACTGGCTAAGTTGATACAAATGAAATTTTTCAGCTTCTGTTGGGCAGTAACTCTGTGATCTTTATGGGAATCTGATTAAGCACAGTTAAGGATGCCAAAGAAAAACAGCAGATCTTTTTAGCTTTTAATGACAAAGCAGGGGAGATTAGGAAACACCACCTCCCTTTTATTTTCATCTTGTTCTTCCTCATCTATTGTGAATAATTGGAAAAGAAGAAACTGGGGATTGAGAAGAGAAAGTGGGAGTAGAACTGATGGGCTGACCGGGCTGGGTGATTTTGCCGGGAGTGTTGGAATAGATCAAGGAAACAGAGGGAAAAACAGTGCTTGTATACCACCCTACATGTTCAAGGGCAGAGGCAGCCGATGTGCTTGCACATGCAACTTGTCCAGTGCTCTGGTGTGTTCTGGCATACCCTGGCATGATGCCCTTGTGGGAAGAGTCAAAGGTCTGTGCTCTGGGCAACACGTGCCTGTGGCATGCATCCCTCGGTGAGTCACAACAATCACACAGACATACATAGCACCTCGTGAATTGCTTGGTTTCACTGCACCCATGGTGGGTGAGTCTGGGAGTAAGAAATATAATTTGTGGGTTTTATTTTATACTGGCCTCATGTTCTTCTTGTTCATAAAAGTTTTAGAAACAGCTGTGGCATATGATGTTTACTTGGCATTAAAGTGCCTCAATTGCAAAGCTGTAAAGTTGGGCCACCTCTTTTTTAAAGGACATAATTTATTTTGCATATTGGGAAATATAAGTAAGGAAACTTCTGATACAAACTGTCTGATAAATATTGAATCATTAACAAATCAAAGATGCATGCAGCAAATTAAGGGTACATGTCAGTTTATTGCTTATTGCTAACCCATCCAGACTGGCCTCTATATTATTCAGCAAGCCAGGAGCATCACAGGGCTTCTGTGAGTACAGCATACAAGAACATTTCATCAGACAAAGATTGACTTATATTTGTCATGGTATTACTGAGTTCTCCTCCCCTTTGTCTTACCCTCAACTAATACAGTTTTCACATTGTATTAGTAGGCTTATTTCATAAGAGAATGCACAGAGATTGCTTTGTTTCATAGTATATACGGAGAAGAAATATAATTGCTCACTTTAAAGGTGATTTTTGAGCTTCAAGCAACATTGCCTAATAGAATTTTCTGTGATGAGTCAAATTATTTATATTTTGTTATCCAGTGTGATAGCCACGAGTCACGTGGCTATTGAGCACCTGAAATATGGCTAGTATACCTGAGGAACAGAATTTTAAATTAGTTTAATTTAAATTACTTAGGGTTTTTTTTTTAATGTTTATTTATTTTTGAGAGAGAGAGAGAGAGAGAGAGCGAGCGCATGTGCACAAACGGGAGGGGCAGAGAGAGAGGGAGACACAGAATCCAAAGCAGGCTCCATGCTGTCAGCACAAAGCCGAATGTAGGGCTCAAACCAATGAGCCGTGAGATCATGACCTGAGTTGAAGTCGGATGCTTAACTGACAGAGCTACCCGGGTGCCTCTAAATGACTTAACTTTTAATTTAGATAGCCACATGTGGCAAAACAGCTACTGTATTGAACATCATGGGTTTAAAGAATGAGTGGAAAAATGGTTATTCAAATAAGTATTTTCAGAACACTCTTTTCTTCCCAATGACAAAATAATTTCCAAATATAAATAAGCCTGATAAGCCATAAGAATGGCTTACAGCCATTTAAGTTTCTCTTACCCCATACATATTGACTCCGAGCTAAAATTGCTTTTTAATAAAAGAACAAGTAGGAGGTGGACTTCAGTATTTAAGCCAGTGTGGTGAGGGTACCATCATGTTATTTAAGTCCCTTGTGTGGAAATGTTCCAGTTATCCCTGCTGGTGGCCTGTGGAAGGCACCTTACTATTTAACATGAAATATGGGTAGTAAAGAGAGTGGAGAGTCCTGCATTGAGCCCAAAGATGTTTGGCCTCTAGTTGCATTGCTTGACATCTGGTCGATGTGGTTTTCATATTGCTGGTAAATTCTCCAGCTGGTAGTCTTGATTGGGCCAACAGATACAGCTGCTCCTCTTGCCTCACTTGTAAATTATGTTTTTGACCTTCCTTGCAGAGAGTTAATCCCTCTCCCTTTCTTCCTCCTTTGAGCCTGTGGCTACAAATGCTTTCCAGAAAGAAAAAAAAAAAAAAAAAAAAAAAAAAAAAAAAAACCCACCCAAAACACTAATGCTTTGGCTGTTGAATTCTATTGATCAAAAAACCATCTCTTCTGTCATAAAGGCTGGAATTTTATTGTATTGCAAGTAAGACAATGTTAGAAATGAAAAGCTGGGCTCAAAAGAGAAAGGGGCAATAGCAAAGTTTGTATTCTTTTTAAGAGAGTAAGTAAGCCTTTGGCCTACCCGTCTGGTTTCCTGACTTCAATGAAAAAAATGCTGAATTAATGGTATACCCATTCAGTATGATGACTGGTTTGTAAAACATGTTCTTATATAATGTTGAGGTCCATGGTAGCAAAATAAGAAACAAGGCATCTTTAAAAATTAAACGAAAACAAAACTCAAAAACCAAACAACAAAAAACACACACATTTTTTAAATTTAAAAACTATTTCTAAAAAGTTCTTTTTTTTTTTTTTTTCCAATTTGGACTTATTGTTACCAACCTCAGAAACTAAACCACCTGGCTGTTCAAACATTTTATTTAAGCTAGCTATGTTCAATCCAAGTTAAATCCTTGAATTAAAGTTCACCTCAAAATCATACTGCTTTAAAAAGAGTGGATAATAAATATTGTAACCAAAATCCATATATGATTTGAATTAAATAGAAGTAGTTTCTTTTACAAATTTCTTTGTTTTCTTCTCTTTTTTATAGAACATTCTTTCAATTGTATAATTTAATTTCTAAGCCTGGTAACATAAGTTAAAGAGATTTTTTTTATTAAACCAAAACTAGGGCATTGATACCAGTTGGATTTAAAAATCAGATTGCCTATATCCTACCCAGATAGTGCCTAATGAATAGTTTTTAATAAACACCCTGTGTGCATGGACTACTGTAATAAAAACAGATGTTAAGACTGCATGGAACTTATTCAAGTGTAATAAGTGAAACCTAGGTTTTTTTTTTACTATGTAGAGGTCACTTTTTATAACAATAGTGAAAATACTGTTATAAAAAAATTCATTCTTGAGGAAGAGCAGGCTGTTTTATGATCTTAACGTGTCTCCCCACAGAATTCTTATTAGTTGCAGAGAAAAATAAATATAAATGGGGAAACCAGGCAACAACTTGACCTTGTGATCAAAATTAATGTGACTAGTGAGGGGCAGATGGACATCATGTGGCTCTGGATGTGATAACCTGAGAAAGGCACAACATCATTTTTATAGTATTCCATCTGGAAGTGCATAACCTGAATCTAAGCACAAGGAAACATCAGACAAATCTAAAATGAGGAACATTCTATGAAAAGAGAAAAAAAGGACTATATTCTTCAAAAATGTCAGTGTCATAAAAGACAAAAGCTGAGGGAAATGCTCCAGATTAAACAATAGTAGAGTCTTGACAACTAAATGTAATACTTGATCCTAGACTGGATCCTATATGGGAAGGGGGAAATGCTATAAATGAGTTACTAGGTCAATTTACAAAATTGGAATATAAATAGAAGAAAGTGTATCGTTGTTAAATTTGTTACAACTGTACTGTGGTACGTAAAGAAATATTCTCATTCTTAGCAAATACAGACTAAAGTATCTAGGGATAACGGGCCATAATATATACACTATCTTCTTGATGGTTCAGAAAAAATATGTGGATGGATGGATAGATGGAGAGCAAATTACAAAGTAATGGAGCAAAGTGTTATCAATAGGTGAATCTGGGTAAAGGATGTATGGATGTTCCTCGAACTGTTCTGTAATTTTGATATTATTTTTGCATAGACAATTTAAAATGTATTATCACTCTTGGATATTATGGCACATTTGATTAGGTTTGAAATGAATATGTAATGGAATGATGCAGTGCCAGGAAGCTGGAGCCTGGGTTTTCCTTCCACTCTGCACACTTGGTGTGATCACTCTGCTTCTTGGGATCTCAGGAGCCTCATCTGTAAAATGAGAATAAGAATACCTTATTATGCCTAAGTCCTTTCTGGGAGAAGGTATGATAACAACAAAGAAACAAAATCTGTCTCTGAATACAGATGACTGGACCCTATTAACTCCTTGATGTATTATATATCTATATCTATATCTATATCTATATCTATATCTGTATCTATATCTATATCTGTCTATATATCTATATCATAGATATATTGTATGTATTATAGATATTTGCATATATTATGACCCCCTAGATATTTGCATTTATTAGCACCCCTAGATACTTGCCTCCAATATGCAAAATTCTAAATTCTGCATTCCAGATTACATAAGCAGATATGATTCTCAGTAGAATTTTTGCAATCTGAATGTTGTATTTACTGTTTTGTCTTTTTTGAAGATAGTTTCTGAGGCTTAAAAAAAAAATAAACATCTATATAAAAGGAATAGAACATATGGGATTTCTGAGAGTTTTTTGTTAGGCTTAATGTACCTCTCAAATAAAGTCTAGGAGGAAGACAAATACAAAATGTGAGGCAGACAAGAAGGAGTTATCAAAGGAATTGAGAAAGAAATTTCTACTCCCAGTTAGGATGAAGAAAGTCACAAGAGACTTGTTCCTACTCCCAACAATGAGAATGAGATGGATAAACTATAAAATCATAAATTTAAAAAACCATCCAAAAAGCTGAATATGCTAGAAAAACCTGAATGAACTAAGTCCCAGAAAGAGACAAACCTTTTTTAGGAGAGAATAAAAACTCTTGACTGGTTTATTTCTGGCAGAACATCAGGAAGAAGAGTAAAACTGACATAGAAGAATATAAAGAGA